CACACAACACCACTCCTCTCCCCCACAACCACAACTCCCAACACCAAGTCCCAAAGCTCACTGCTCTACAGGGATTAGACAAAAGTTATTTTCTTAGTTTGTTTTTTCTCTGTTTGTTTTAAAAACCTTTTCCTTCTCACAAGAAGCAAAAGAGAAGAGTCAGAGGCAGAGAGAGTTCACCACGCTTCGGTGTAGCGGACGTCCACTTCCTTCAGATTGGGTAGTTTCGCCTGTGCAGGAGGGTAGGGAAAAGGCAGAATTAATGGCACATGTTTGGGACTCTGGGAACAAGTTCCTGGCAAATCCTTACCTGGATGCATCTGGGAGGATGCATCTATTGGCCACAAAGTGCAGGGAGATGCACTGCACCCTCGGCACTGCAGAGTACCAGCGCTGAGCTGGAGCATACAGGGGTTAATGAAGGGACATGGTGCGGAGCCTCCACGGACACACAGGACCAAGTCCCACTGGCAGCCCTGGTAACATCCATGCACCAGACACCAGGTCCGGATCAGGTCCTTGTCTTTATACACATGCTTAACAAGACAGGGCTTTGAGAAACCTGCTCTAGTGGAAGGTGTCCCTGCCCATGGCAGGGGGCTGGAACTGGATGAGCTTTAATCCCTTCCAACACAAACCATTCCATGATTCTATGAAAACCTGTTTGACAAACTGCACCTATCAAGGCAGTGCACTCGAACTGCAGCAAACAGCCACACGTTCCTTCTTCAGCCTCCACGCTCAGTCACTGCTTGATTTTTCCCTCCATGTATTAAAAGACATTTGAGCGTCTTTTAGCAACTTTTGACATCTTCATAGTCTCCTTTCCTTCACTCCACTGCATTTGGTCATATTGTTCCTGAATAACACTGAGCGAGGCAGAGGTGAATCTGCTGTTTGCAGGGTTCCTACTTATTGATCCCATTTCCATGCTCTCTGACCATAATCGTACGGCTAATTCTCTCAAAACAAACAAACACTTTTAATTAGGCTAGGGCATAATTGAGGAGTTGGAAGTTTCTAGGACTCATTATTACCTCACTCCTTGATTTATGTGCATGCATATTTTGATAAGAGCTAGTCATAATCCTACAGACACTGCCAGCAAATAATTTTTCAGTTAGGCAATAATGACTTCAGTAGTGGGTGTTTATTTATTGTCTGGTTCAGCCTGCCTGGTACATATGTGGGTGTCTGTGTGTGTGCAAGTGTGTTTAGTGGGGTGGGGGATGGAGAAGAGAGGAAATGTCATCACTGGCGTGTGCCCCAAGTGCTCTCACAGACCAAGGGGAGAAGAAGGAAAGATTTGTATCAAAAATGCATTCTTTGAAGTCTGAGCCGTTCCCAACAGACCTACAACCATGTGCCCCAGGGGAAGAAACTATTACCCTCCCTTTGAACACACACAGAGCGCTGAAAAAATGGCCACCAAGATAAATCTCAATGAAAGAGGTGAGAGGGGGGAAAAAGTGACGCACAAGTTTCCTCAGCTTTTTTAATTCTCTGCAATCATCAGGCCTTTGCTCACAGCCAGTTTTGCTGTTTGCCCTGGCAAGTCACTTTCTTAGTTGCTGCTAAGGACTGTTAATGCAATACCAGAGCAGAGGGAACCGGTTAGGAAAATATGAGTTTCGGTATGAACTTAGCAGCAAAGGGGCTCAGAAGCAGGGGTAGGACTGGGGGAGCATTTCAATAGACTTGATTTCAGAGCCCTGGGCCAAATGCAGCATTGACCTTGATTGTGTATAAATGCTCGAGACCTGATACAAGCTTCATTGTGTGAACCCATCTGCAAACCAGCTGTTAAGTCCAAGGACAACTTCTTTGCATATACAGTTGTGACACAAGCTTTAAAAACTTGATCTTGAAAAATCCACACTAGCAGCACTGCAACTGAGTCGCGGGGGGAGCCCTGGCTCCACAGCCGGAACCAAAGAGAGATGCTGCAGTTTGAAAGCAGAGCAGCTTCAGGACTTGCCTCAAGTTCGAAACTCAACCCAAGCTTGTAAGCCTGGCACAATCAAAGGTTTCAACACGTAAGACAACATAATGTTGAGCTTCATCTTGAGCCATTGTGTTTATAAAGTAAGACTTTGTGAGATGCAACTCACACAACACCAGAGGGAAGACGAAGTCCACATAAAGTCATGAAAGCCAACACATCTCAGGCAGTCTTTGCCTGAAAGCACCTGGGCTGTTCCCCTTCCACAGCTACATTCTAGTTCTTGATGCAATTTTGCTGAAGCAGTTGTAAATTCATAGTACAAATCTCACATGTTAAACTCAGACCTGGTTATCTGAGCAGGCGCTTCTGTTTAAAGCCCAGTTCCAGCCCTAGAGGTGTCAGAGATAAACCTGCACCTTCCCCAATGCTTTTAATTCTCCCTTTGCATTCTGCAACATGGCTCTGTAATACTGTTTGATCCTGTTAACAGTACAGGACACGGCTCTGGAGGTGTGAACTAGATTTTACCTGCCTCTGTATCTTCATCAGAAACAAATGATATGCTCCTGTTTCTGAAACCTTTACTGTTGACAGCACTGGTGAAAAGACTCAGTTTCTGATTCCACCTCATACTTACCTATTCAGCACATGAACTGTCTCCTGAGTCAATCAAAGCCAGCAACCTCACAATGCTGTTTTCAGTCATCACCTCCCCAAAACAATGCAGTTCACCCTCTTCAGATGACTTTCATGCCACCCACTCCATGGAGGCAGCTCTCTCTAGGCACTACCACCATACTCTTGCTAAACGTGCAAGTTCTCATGGGCCAGATACTTTTCATGTTTAGTGGATGCAATTCAGAAATACCTTGAGATCTTCGTAGGTATCTGCTGAAAGTTTGGTGCTGTTCATATTCAGGCTACACAGGCTCTTCATGGCTAAAAGAGAAAGCACAGAGATATTTATGATCATGCTGCCTTTTCTTATAATACCAAGCTTACGGTAGGTCAAAGCATAAACAAGACATGACTGTGTGCGGTGCACTCAGGAAAAAGCTGAATAGTGTAAAATATAGAAGTACAAATGGATAAACAGCTGTTTGGGCCCCGATCCAGGAAAAAGTCCCTATTTAGGAAGGGCCATTAAGCATATGCTTAAGCCCGCTGACTTCAAAGGAGTTCAGGCAACTTCTCATAATCAGTTTCCTGCACATTATTCTGAATAGTGCCCGTTCTCAGTGCTCGGCACGGTGCACGCAGGGGCCATGCTGATCTAGCAGTCCTCCCTCCCCCCCTTCCATTTTAGGCTCCACTACTTAGCAGAATAGTTTCCTAAGATGAGCCATAACTACTGGCCTGTCTGGCACGTCTGTGTAGGATCAAGCCTATTAAAGGAGCCCTTTAAACCCAAGAGGCGAGGTTTATGATACACTGTTGGATGCAGGAAAGGTTTTCACTCTGGCACGTCGAGCAGCTCTCAGTGCACGGGGGAATCCTGAATGCTGCTTAGATGGCCCCGCGCTGCCTCACCCTATTTAAATTAAGAATAATGAGGGCTTCACCTCCCCAAAAAGAAGGAACAAAAAAGGTCCGGAGAGGGTAGAAAACCTGCTGCTCATAGTTACTAAACTCACTAGTAAGTTGCTATGTGGTTTTGCAATCTTCCCCTCCTGCATTACAAGGTCAAACTTCCACCCAGGGAGACAGCGTCCATGAAACGAAGTTGAGAAGTCTCAGGGCAACAGGTCACCATGTGAGATTGACACAAGTGCGACTGGTAAAGTCAGAGGCAGGAGCCAGAGTACAGTCTGGGACAGCAAAGCCCATTGAGGATCACTGGGCTCAGATCACCCTCCTGCTTCCCCTGCCTGCAGCTTAACAGCCACTTGAGTGGGCAGGGAGGAGGGAAGTTTAAACCCAAACACGACCACAGCCGTTCCTAAATCCCTGCGGAAGCAGCGCCGTGGCAGCCGAGAAATCAATCTTCTGCCTGAACCCACGTGAATTCCTCCAAACCCATGTCATTTTCCTCTGTAGCTTATTTCGGTCACTTACAACTAAGTGCCAGCAGCCCAGCATCTGTGACAGGCGTCTCGCAGAGGTTGAGCACTTGCAGCATCGTGAGGTGTTCAGAGAGAAGCCGCAGCCCTGCGTCTCCGAACTGTGGGGTGCAAGTAGAGTTGGGTTCAAACAGTGCATGAACATCATGTGTGAGCAGCTCAGTGCAAACAGGGCGCACTAAAACAAGGTCTGCAGATCAGCCCTCAAAGCCACACTCTGATTGTTTACCACAGTCTAAAATGACGGGGGAGAAAGCAAATAGTTTTATCCCCGTTTTTGCAGACAGGGAACAGAAAAATTAAGTAAGTGACTTGTGCGCACTTAACCGCAGGCCATCATTTAATCAGAATGGTGCCTTTGAAGTCTGGACTTTGTATGAGGGCACTCCCACCCGGGCTATACAAGATGGTTATGGCAGTCCCAGCCAGTTCCCAACCACATCACAAAACAACAGCATAATGCAACTGGTATTAATTAGCTATTTTGGTCTCAAGAACAATGTACTATTGATTGGTAATTGTTCTATTGACCCACTTGGTTTCTGCTGTTGCTAAATTCTAGATTAATGGAAACCAGGATATCACAAAATAAATGGAATTTAAACTTTTTTTTTAAACAATTAAAAAAAAAAAGATGATACAAAAAACAGGCTCTTTGTCCAATGAAATCAAACCCATTATGAGCAAGAAGCATCAAAGTTTTCAAATCCCAAAGTTACATTGTTAGGACAAATCTGGAGGAGATACAAGACAGTGTTAAAACAAGCAAGCAATCAGATCGGATTTCATATTCCCCATGGAAAAAGAGGAAATTTCTGGGATACAAAAGTAGTTAAGAAAACAAAACAAGATTATTTACATGACATTTGAGTGGAAAAAAATAAATGCTGCTTTTTGTGGTTGCACTGAGAATAAACATATTTTCAGCGAGCACTACAAATAGGTGCTAACAGAAAATGAGGAAAACCTGTTCACTTTGTTCAATGGAGAACTGCAGAGACCAAAACCAGCAGGGAAATATAGAAGAAAAAATTAACTTAAACTTTTTCAAATATCAGCTGAATAGTTTGTTCAGTTAACTTGGCTTCTTTTTGCTTAGAAAATAACCACATTCTCATTTATAGTTCCTGCCATTTATTCATTGTTTGAGTTTCTTTTTGTTGTTGCTGTTTTCAAAGAAATTCTGGTTGATCAGCATTCACAGCAGTTCACTGCCTGCACTGCACAGGCTCTCTACTTCACTTGACCAGATGAGCTGCACAGGCTCCTTTTTGTCACCCCAAATGGGTGACAGCATAAGTGCTTCTCAGATGAAAAGCAGCACAGCAAAATACTCAGTATCAACAACACCCAACTGGAACATTCAACCCAAGCAGCAACTCCTCTATAATTGAAAATAAATTGTAAGAAATAATAGAAGAAAGGTGGGAAAGAAAAATCAGCCTCCAAGATGAGCTAGACCATAGAAAGGGCCTGTAAAAATAGCACAAAGACAAACTCTTTCTAAACAAGCCTCTTCACACTCTCTTGTCGTGCTGATGTAATGTGAAATTTCAGAATTAGTCAGCATTGGTTCCTGCTCTGAGTTTCAGTCTGTAAAGCACTTACCTGAGTTGACCACAGGTTCAGCTGCTTGAGAGAAGGCAGTTTAATGAGGTGCTCAGCACAAGCACTTGTCACATTGGTGAAGGCCAGGCTGAGGTTTTCCAGATTCCCAAAAGATCCTGAGCTTAGCAAGCGGGCCAGGTCTGCATCCTGAAAGCAAAGCAGAGAGGGATGAGCAAGATTATCGACTCCTCAGCCTGCAGTATGCAGCAGTGTCACCGATACTGTTAACCAGCAGGAGTTGCACAATTATATGACTTGTTTACAGTAACAGAGAACCACACAGAGAAGTTTCTGTTTGTTTGGCAGGCAGCTGGGCTCTTGTGGCAGTGTTGCTTCACATACCCTGGGAAAAACTTATCCAGACATGAGGACAAAAGTTGTCTTTCAATGTGTATCCTTACAAGACACGAAGGCTTCAGTGGGCCCTGTAACTTAATGAAGGTTTCACTGCAAGTTCTAGATCCAAACCATATTCAAGACCATCACTTGGCCTCAGTGAAGAGAGTCCGGGTTTGCACCAGGCTTAACTGCAACAGTGATGGGTCTCTTTCAGACCTCCGTGTCTAAGATCCACAACCGGACATTGTGAAGTCTGCTTTTTTTAGTGCAAGATTCTGCCCCCAAATCTACCATTCCAAATCTGCACACCAGTGTAAACCTGACAGCCTGATGCTTGGACTTGTGCTGGAAACTGCTGCACAGGCCCAGGAGCAGAAATACACCTTTAGTTCTGTAAACTCCAGTTGTGTTTACAGAGAGAGTGCACGACCCCCCTCTCAACTCACCAAAACCACTGTGCCACATAAACATAAACCAAGTGTTTAAATATGGTAAGATAAAGCTCGCATCTCTATTGATGTGATTAACTTACAGTGGATTTGGATGGCAGTGTTAATCTTGTGGGACCACCTTTTCTTTGCTGTAAGACAGAAGATATTTTGGTCAAACAAGTTGCCATTCTACATTTCAGACCATCTGAAGTCTATCAAGCTCAACACTAGGGCGAACCCTGCTCCAATTTCAAAGCTCCCTGCCAGCCCTTCCACTTTGTCCCTGCTGTTTCTGCACTGACAGATTCTTTCCTGAGCGTGCTAGATGCAGGCCTGTTGCTACCCAGGGGACGTCCACTAAATGCAGCTTCACGCTATGGGTCAGCATTTTGTCTGATTCAGCCTCGCATTACTTGGTTACTTTCACTTTAAAGGAAACAGCCTTAACATGCTGGGCTAAGATAGCAAAGGGGTAGAGACTGCACAGCTGATAAAATCATGTCTGACTTCAAAAAAAGCATATGCTTTTCAGGCAGGGGTTAAAGACAACAAATATAAGTGTGAACGAGGGAGGAGGAAGATTGTGGGTATGTCTGCATAGGTGAAAAAGTGTTAATGAGAGCAATCAAACTGTAGATCTCATCTTTAAAAAGGGGGGGGGGGTAAGGGGGAAAGAATCTTTTTCTCGTAGGCTCTTGCTCTGAGAACTAGACCCAAAGACCATCTCATGAAATGTCGTGATTGTGACAGCATTAAGAAATGCTGGCCAGCACTAGAACCATTTGCTACTTATATGTCAAAAGGTGGCAGAATTTGACAAGCTGACTTCCAAGATCTTGAGACATCAGGATTTCACCTTTATTCTTTCACACGGATTTTAAGCAGGTTATTGAATATCATTCATAAACATAGTATGGGATTAAACACATCAGTAAATATCATGCAGTATATATATTCACAGTAGAACTCTCCAAATACTGCTCCCATCCTGTTGTTAACTGGGAATTTCACACCCTGCTTGTCTTTCTTTTGTACCTCCATTTCTGGAGAGGACAGACCACAATGTGCTATGGCAATACTGCATGCCCGGTGACATACCAGCTCTTTTAACTCCCTCTGCCTGTCACACAGCTGTTCATACATTCTCTTTCCCACGTCTGTGCTTTCCAGGGTAGAGATGATCTGGAGCTGGGTGTCATTATTATCAATGATGTTGTATTCCAGCATCAGACACAAAATCTAGCAGCAGGAAGAAAGAAGAGTGGTCACTGCAGTACTTATACTCAGTTTGTTCAAAATATCCTAATTACACTGGCTTTGTAGTTTAAATTACTGAGGTAAGTTCTTAAAGCACGCATTATGCAGGCTAGATTAGAGGATCACAGCAACCTCTGCTGACCTTCCAGCACAAGAAACCAATTTTTATTCGTAAAGAATGAACTCTAATGTCTGAAAGTCAGACTATCTATTCTGTCTTCCATTAGTGCTCATTCCTTCTGACTGAGAGGTGCAATTACTTTGCATCAGTCCTGGAAGATGGATTCATACCACAGCCTGCTTCAGAACAGGTACAATCGATCCAGTGTTTCCCAGGTACACTGGCTAGACTGCAGATTGGCACACTTGGGATATTACACATCATCAGCAGAGCAAAGCAGTTCCCTAAGTGCTGGATTTTCTATCCCTAAGTGCCAGCAGAATGCAGGTGAAGTGTATCCTATCTATGAGGCAGGTTAAGGAATGGTCAGGGAGGCTCTCTCCACATCAGATAAGGTGATGCTGGGAACTTGCTGCTGTGGCCAAGACACCCTGCATCTCATTGGGAATATGCCTGATTCACCCCTGAGCAAGGGACTGCCAGGAGCAAGTTAAGACACCAGGGAACGATTCCAACGGGTTGCATGGGCTTAGGACACAAGCTGCCCCCCTCATATTGCCTTGCCTTTTCAGCTACACATCATGCCATTGCAATTAGAATGCAAAGCTTTCATTCCCTCCATCATTCTAATTATCTTTAATGAAAAAAATCAAGCAACATTATATTCAAATTCACACAGCGCACTCTTTTATTTACTGGATTAAATTAGCGCACACACAGATCTAGCTCAAGGAAAAATTCTAACTCCTTCCACCTATTTAACCATCCTCTGTTTCCATTTAAAATGCATGATGGCATTTAGCAAGAAACATCTTTAAAGAAACCCAGAAAAATATGTTTAAACCGTTAGCTCAACAAAATAACCAATCGTAAGCACAAAAACCCCAACTGTTAATGCAAGTAAATAAGGTAAATTTGTAAATGCAGTACTTATGCACTGCTCGTTTTGCAGGTGGCAGGACAAGCATCAGGAATTTAGTCATGGAAAAGCCTTGAGGTTCTGAATTCTGACCCCTCCCCACAGCCTACATCATCATGGCCATTTATTTCCCAACTTGGCCTCTGAAACTGATTTAGAACAAACAATCTCTCTCCAAATATTCCTGCAGCCACTGTTCATGTAATTCACACTCATACCTGCAGAACAACAATATTCCACTGCACCTAATGAAGAGAAACACAACTGCTGGTTTTTGGTATGACACAAACCTGAACTTGGCTTCTCCAATTCCACTACACTTAATTCTGGGAAAGGCAGTGTGAAACCTGAATACTGCTCGTAAACCATAACCACTTATGTTCAGGGCTTACCTCAATCATTGTCTGGTTACCCCTTAAGGCCAGTAGCATGCAAGGTCCCAATTTATTTTCAGCCAGCGAAAGCAGAAACTTCTTTGTTTTATAGCAGGATCCCATTAAAATATGCACCTATTCGAGAAACAGAGCTCAATTAGAGGCGTCAGCCTAAGAAACACATGTACCTCTGGGAGCGACATTGTTAGACAGTCACACAAAACGTTAAGTATTTGCAACAAATCTAAAGAAAAGGGGTCCCTCGTTACCATTATGGTTGCAATCTCTCAACAGCTTTATTGCTGATTGGAAGTGATACCTAGTGAGATCTGAGGGAGTGGGTAGTTTTCCTCCATGAAGGAGCGCAGCTGATAGAGGCCTGATACAGGCTCCCCAGGAAACACCAGAGCAGCTGTGCGATTGCCCCCATCCCTACTAACACGATGAACCCAGCCCCAGGGGAACCACAGGAGACTTTGCCTTCACATCTGTTTGCAGTCCAGTTTCTCTGGAAGTGCCAGCTGGTGAGCAAGGGTTGTGTGGGCTGGATGTCTAGGTAAAACGCAGTGGTGCTGGCTGAACACTAGCCTTGGCTTAAGGGTGGTGACAGACAAAATCACCTGTTCGGAATGAGCAGACAGGAACTGACTGGGAAAGGAAGGAATGCCTTAAGAAAGCAGTCCTGAGCCTAAGTCAGAGATGACTTCATGTGCTTTCACATGCTCTTGTGTCATTATCTTGCTTTCTCTCTTGCTCAGTTTTCCCTGAAAGGAAAGAAATGCTGAGAACACTGCCTGAGTAAAACTCTCTTGAGTCCACTAGTTGACAACAGTGTCCTGGAGACTCCTACCTCCAGAAAGCATGGGATGGTATCACATAGCAACACCTATGGCAGAAATGCAAAGCCACTTTTACAAATAAAACGTTAAAGAGTCTCTTCTCACAAAAGATGTTGGCAATATTCTTTCCCATTGAAAAGCCCTAGAGGTTAGCTGCAGAGAATTTCAGTTTCCTAGCTAAAGTCCTATTTTATGGCCCAAACAGCTGATTCACCAGTTTGCTGGCAGAGCACTGTGTGACAATTTGTAGTTTCCAATGACCTGGGCAGTAAGAGCTCCATTAACTAGAGTTGAGTCTACATTACAATAAGCTTGTAAATACATTCTGTGGTTCCCCTGGTTCATAGTATTGCCTGGACTATGTTCAACACTGCTGAAAATATCACAACCACGCCATGGTGGGGTCAGTTCTATGCAGATCATGTGCTACCATGCAATTCTTCTTCCTCGTGGCTTCATTACCAGCAAGGCCTTTAGAAAAAACACAAAATATTTTCTTAAGCATCCATGTTTTTAAAGGTATCCTTTAAAAACAGTAAGCTTAACGCCAAGAAGGATTTCATTTCATGCAGTTATCATTAAGGTTTTTAAGGTTTTTAGGAGGTTTTCTTGAGTGACGGAAAATACTGATGCTACCACTTAATGCAAGATCCATCTATGAACAGGATGTTTTCCAAACTTTATGGTTAGTCGTTAGCAGCTCTTTAAGTATTTATCAACATCCTTGCAAAGGGCACAGAGTACTGCATATTGATGTATGTTAGCACTGTGCTCTCATGCACGCCATCTCCTGATGCTCATAAATATCCTGGACCACAGAAGCTCTCAGGAGAAATTACACAGTTCTGAAGAAGTTTTCCTTCCAAACACAAAAGACAGAATCAGTGAAGAGGGATGAAACCTTTTGTGAACAGTCTTTGTCCATTACCTGATTTAAAGGTATCATCTGATCCATCTGGATTTAAGTATATAAACAGACGTGCATGTTCTTTATGTCTCAAAATGTTCAGCACAGGGGGACGTGCACTAAGTATAGATCCCCCTGAAAGTCACTTCACTGTACACCCAACTTCAACAAATGTTACTCCCCTTACCAGGGAAAGCAAGTAATACCATTTCCATCTTACTTGGTATACAGAGAATTAATAAACAGTGAGACTTACGTGACTTGACCCAGGCTGCAAGGAAGCCAGTGGCAGCATCAGCGATTAAAACTTTTATTTTCTGTCTAGTCTTTCTGAGAGTTACAAAAGAATTAACTACTAAGAAATAGAATGCTGGTTTCTAATTATACGTCCCCACAACAACGTAATTGGGCAGAGAAACTGCTAACGTATTTTTATATCTATATATCCACCCTTTGATTAATTCAATGTTACTGTTGGCTTTAAATTCCAGGGTAGCCTACAAATGAAAACTATAGGTGTGGATGTGCAGAACAGTCTGTTGCACCTGCCTCCCAATATTCCATATTCTGAAAGAGTTCTATATACAGACACACAAACACATGTATTTATAAATACAAAAATACATATGCAAACACATATATATGTATATATGCATGGTTCTGTGCACTGCACAGTGCAAAACCAACCAAAGTTCAAGAAGAGAAAGCTGACATGTTAGCCAAATTGTGATTGCAAGGAATTTCAATCAATTTGGTGATATAAAGATTTAGATTTCCTGGTGAGCACTTCCAGTTTACAGAACCATGACAAAGCCGCATTAGTTACTTACTGCAAAGAAGTTACTAAACTCACATTATGGCAGACACGTACCATACTGGCAAACAGCTCCCCATCATCATCACATGCCACTCCACCAGGGCTGTAGAGCTGGAACCAGCCATCTTTGCCAGCCCGCACACTCAGCAAGCATGAGTGGACCTGCCAAAAAGTGAAGACATTGGGAAGGTTACAGTTCCTGCCAGTGAACACTGGTGTCTCCCATGCTTGGCCAAAAGAAGTCACTACAAAACCAGGGTCTGCTGGAAATTCATGGTTAATATTCCAATCTACAGAGTGCAGGCAAGCCTCCACTCACAGAATTCATTTTTGCAGCATGAACAAGGAGGGAAGCTGTATCATCACTCCTTGCATGGCCTTTTTCATTCGCTTTACGCAAATCACATGCAAAATTGCTCCAATCTAGAACAGCTCCTTTCACTTGAAAAAACAAAACAAAACCAACCCCCCTCCCTAAAATAAACAAAACAAAACCACAAATGAAAACAAGACAAGACTAAAATTTCTGAGCTTCTGCCATTTTCCCCCCTTCCTACCACCATGTGCGTCTATACTTCTGATGTGATCTGCACACCAAATGCAGTTGGCTGACGGCTTGCTCTTTCCAATAATTAAAAATCCTTATTACTCCTGCTATAATAAAATGTGACCAGAATCAGGGTGAAGGAAATCCACAAATTAACAGGAATATGTAAGACAGAAGTTGCACTAAAGAACTGGCACCAGTGAGCTACCATTAGTCTAAATTTGGCCCACTGTAGAGATTACTGTATCTGTTCCCACAGCTTAATAGAGGAGTCATAATTAAGGTTTTCTCCGGCTGATGATGTTGAACAAGCTACATGTGCAGCAGTCAGCCACCATGAGGCTACAACTACGCCCTCTTTCCAGTAACACACCTCCCACCCCCTTTCTCCTGCTAATTCATGGGAATTATGGTCATTTGCACACAATGTAACTGAAAAGCAGCTAAATAAAACCTGTTATTTCGTAAGCTGCAAGGATCCATGGATTTTGCTTTCCTTTTTTTTTTTTCTGTATGGAAGATGAAAAGCTCTGTGAGATTCAGAGTAGGAAGATCTTGCTGGTTGCACTTTACTGCAGACCAAGGACATCAACTGATGCCAGACAAGGAGGTCACAACACACTTTTATACATAAAGCAAGAAAACATTCATATTAACACCGTGTGCCCTGAGCAGCTATTACCACCTAAGGGACTTAAGCACAGCAAAACCACACCATGTTTTGAAACAAACTACTTAAGGAGAAATCTTTGGAACAAGTGTTCTTGCAACTCCCCCAGTTAATAATCTGTGTAACCTGTCAATATACTCACTTCTTGCCTCAGGTCTTCTGCAAATCTCTGAATCACATATTTGAGCTCCCTGGGGGGGAAAAAAAAGGTAAAAGGACATGAATAAGCCGTTGCTGGTTGCAGTATTCATGCGAGTGTCACATTTCTCTTCAATTACCCCTTAAACAATATATATTCATGCACTTTAGAGAGAAACAAGTTGAACTGCTTCCACAGGAAGGAAATGTAAGGGCTAAAAGTGATTACCAAGGACACTGTCTGTTCACAATAGGCTAGAAAAGGTTTCAGAGACGTGCAGTGACAAACATGCCTGTAAACCCTATCAGCACCCAGTGCCTTTAGCCCTTGGGATATTGCTGTCACAGTAAATTACAAAGAAAACTACATCTTTTTATTACTAACAGAACACGCTTACAGCCCCTCACAGGTAAAAAACATTAGAGACACAATATCAAATAATGTACCATTGCTATTATTGACTAGTACAAGTATTTTAAATAATTACCCCCCCTTCAATAAAGCAAACAAGCCCCCAAAACTTACTTTGTGAATTTCTCATGTGCAAGAGCCCTGAAATTTAAAACAGAAGAGTATGAGGATCTGGGAGAAGGAAGGGAAGAAAAAAACAAAGAAAGAAATGGAAGGAAGGATGGAAGGAAGGGAAAAGAGAAAAAAGAAAAAGAAGAAACAAAGCAAACCAAAACACAACCACTTCTCAGTTCTTTCCACATAATAAAAGCATTTGTTAATACCTGATCTTTCCAAAAAGATCAGGTAAAATCTCCTTCATTAATCTAGGGGGAAAAATGAATGAAAACCAAAATATCACTTGGAACAAATCTGGTAGCTTTCCCTGAGTCCAGTCTAAGGACTCAGACTAACGTCAGTTAAAGCTTTGAGTCAGAAGAAAGCAAGTAGAAGACTTACAATAAGGCTATAACATGACAGAATTTTGGCCACCTAGAAGAGCACCAAGTGAATTCTTTAATTGGAGTGCAACTCCAATTAGTTGGTCACAACTAATTAACATCACGTGTCAATAAAGCAATTAGTGGTCATTCTGTGAACTGCCTTGCATTGTGGTATGGTTTACACCTCCCCCAGGACACATGTTTGACTTATGTAAATGATGTCTTTGTTGCCTATCTCCAAGCTCTCGCTGTAGCCCAGGTAACCTGGCATGGAGGATTAGACCTCTCTGATTCAAGACATCAGGTCATTAGGGGATGTGATAAGCTAGCAAATTGTACAATTACAGGTTGTAATGTTTGTCCGTGGAGGTCTGCATTTTATAAACACTACTGTTCATTAATAGGTTTCCGAGGAACCTTGGCTGATCCGTAGGGTAGCTTCTTCATTTAATGCAAAATACAAATGACAGAGGTCTCTGTGACGCCAGTAAAGCATCCTCCTCCACTAAATCTCTTGCTTTGTTCTTCTCTGCACCAGCTTTCCCTCCTTTCCTGTCTGCCTGTCTGCAGTTAACCATTTTTCTCTTCAGGATCAACTTAGAGACATGGGGAAGGAAGATGAAGATGTCCCTCTGCCTTGAAGCAACTCTTGATTTTAAAATCAATACTAGAGGCACAAAGCTCCTATTACCATCAGGTTTTACTTGACATTATATTTCACCATAAAACAACAGTAACAAGAATAACCCAGTAAATACTAAGAGAGTGCAAACTTACTCCTTTGGAAATGGGATAGGTTGAAGCAAGCTGGCAAGGGCTGGTCTCCAGTCATCATAGTCTGACCTGGAAAATGAACATTTTTGTTAACAGGTTAGCAGGTTTTAAACATGGGGTGTCAACAGTTGGTTCAAGGAGTTTGAAGTTACAGTTGGTGCAGGCACCACAACCCTTCTGTTTTACTGAGACACTCAAAAGATCCACAGCAACATTTCCCTTTCCCTTTTCAGCACATTCCCCACTGAGGCACAATGCATCTGGCATTCACAATGACTTCCAGAGAGGCCTTCTTTATGTCAACTTAAAGACTTTATGAAACCTGTTGACAGTTAATCACTAAGTAATACTTTCATCTAAGTTGGTACAGCAACTACCAGGCCATTGCTATTTACAGCTCTGCTCTGCATTTAATTGGATTTTTTTTAGTTTTGGTTGGTTGGTTGTTTTTTTTTTACTATAAAACATAACCTCATTTGTAGAAACAAAGATACCCCCCAATCCACTTTGATCTTGGCACAAAGGAATGTGTCAATTCAAACAGTACGAAGTCTTTAGCTTAAGAGGAGAGAGACTAGAGAAGGAAACACTGTGCTCAGGAGTGCAAGAGGATAAATGAAGATAACCACAGCAGAGAGCTCAGGCCAGTGGACCCAATATGAAGTGTCTGTGTGAGCACCACAGCTCCCAGATGATGAGTTTTGTTTTCATCTCTGCTGTCAATGTACAGACCTGTCTTCCTATGAGGAGCCATCCATAAGGGGATGCTCATGTGAACTAGGATAAAGAGAACATTTTGCATGTGCTGGTCAGTGCAAACTAATCTGGCATCGTATAATCTCAATCTACCTGCAAAATACCAGCTGCCTGAACACATGTGGATCAGGTGTGGCTTCTCGTGCAGCAGTGGCACTCTGTACACTGCCGCCCCTCTCCTCCAAATGATCTCAAATAGTAAGAGGTTACTCAGCACTGATTAACTGCCCTACCAATGCACTGCATGAAGGGTACAAGCATTGTAGGATGGATGAAGAACACAGAACATAAGAGAATTGGGCAAGTCAGCACCAAAACAGGGCACAGAACCCACCAGCCAAAGCCCAGATCCCAGCACTGCCTGTGAGGCCATTCTCACTACAATTAATACTAATGAGTGCACATAGAAGTAAGAGCAGTAAATCTCATTTGGGGTGAAACACGTCGGGATGTCTGTAGAAGGCAATGTACAAGAGCCTACCATCTCCTCTTACTGCTGCTACCCTTTGGATTTCAGTTTGAAAAGTCAGATTATTGGCTGCAGTTTATGGAAAACTTGGCACAAAAGTATGGTGTTTCTTTAGGAAAGAACGAAGTGTAATGTTCTCAAATGGACAGTAACTACTGATAGCATTAGAAACAGACAACATGCACAGGAATCATTCCAAAACAATGTTGTTTGTTTTTTTGCAAGGAGAAGGTTCTAGCCCAGGAAACTGAAGATGGATGCATTTCCACATGTGACATCCATTTATTGAACCACAGAATCCAGAAGTTCCTATAAAATAGTAATACACATTATGTTGGATAGTCCACAAAGGCATGTTCATGGGCACAAGGAAAACATACATGTGTGAGTAGGGTGTTCTTGAGAAGCAACATCAGTGCCAGTGCTTGGGTCCTCAAAGAACTGACAAGTCTAATGAGCAGTCGTCTTCCTTTCTTTTTCTTCTTTTAGTAAACATACCCTCTGGAAATTCCTACTAAACCAGTGGCTGATTTTACTCTAAAACCAACACATTTTTATCAATAGGTGCAAAGAACTTTAAGGACAGATTATTGTTCTCAAAGGAGAGAAAAGGCTGAGTTAGGAAATTCAACAGTGATAAAGGTGTTTCACATCACACGAGACAGTACCTACTAATCTTGCCTCAAAGAAGCCTAAGACCCACTTGGAAGCTTAGTTCCTGTGACATCTCAGGTTAGTGTTACACCACTAACATTCCTCCTTGAGCAATCTGTGGAGTTCTGATTAGTAATAATGTGAACCAATCATTTTTTCATGGCTGATCTTCAAAGGAAATGGCAAGAGGAAGAAAAAAGCTGCTTTGTAATGCACTAAGACCGAGTCAAACTGCAGACAGAATTAGACAGTATCACACTCCGACTTTTCCTGAAGCTGGGAGTTACGTATGGCATCTATTTGCAGAGCAGGTCTGTGAGAGGACACTGAGAATAAACCATAGCCTGTTTTCCTAGGAAACTGTGTCCTGTGAAACACATAGAGCTTGGTCACATGAATGGGACACGAACATAAAATCTACACAGTCTGTAATCCCTTCAATCTGAGCTAGGAAACATGAAACAAACACAGCATAAGAATAAAACTAAACTACTTATTAGAAGCCTACAGTGTTTCTCCTCCTCCCACCTATTCCCTTTTCAAAAACATCTTCCTTCTGTCTGTGCTCATCTCATTTGCACTCTTCTGTCACTTCAGACAGTCGCTTTTTTCTTTTCTCTTTTTTTCGATCCATTCAAAGCTCCAGCACAAGAAGAAGTGTTTGAAGCAGGGAAAGAAAGGGAGATAGATTAGCTCCGGCTGCAGTTAACAACCACTGCAATGAGCCAGACAAAGAGGCCATGCCAGGAAGAAGAAGGAGCACCTCTGACAAACTCCTTTTGGAGCAAATTAAAGGGTGCTGGGCTGAACGCTCACACTCATATACAGCTTAAATCCCAGGACTGGCCTTATAAAAGGGGGAGAATGACACCCTGATGTATTTATTGGCTCTGATTTGCACTTTTAGGTGAGCAGCACCACGTGCTGGCAGGTCAGGGTGCCAAGTGGGTGAAGGCTGCCAGAGCAGTCATCTGCTGCTGCACATGGCTTTACTTACCCACAAACCTGTTTTGGCCAGAACATTGGCTTAACCATAATAATCAAACAGCCCTGATTGCAGTGATTTTGCCTCTGGGCCATCGTCACTACTGGCCTGTCAACGTAACACATTTTCCTTCCCCAGGATCACCTTTCACCAAAATGAAAACCTGCCCATGTGTCCTGTGAGGCACAAACAATCCAAAACATACTAGCAACCCGGGGCAACCCTGATAAACATGACATAAGAGAATCCACTTGGGATATTCAGAGCATGCCACTGACCTATTGGGGAATGCAGAGAAGGCAGGGGAAGCTCCAGTGGGTGCTTGCATTCAGAAAGCTGTCAGTCTTATCACCGAGAGATTGCAAGCCCAGAGTTTAAAGGGCAATAAAGAGACAAGGAGCAACTACGTAGAAGCAGCTTGTTTTTCCAGCTTGGCAAGACCAACAATCTTTCAGGTAACTCTTCTGTTATCAGCAAATAATAAGATGATCAAGCCCCCCAGACACGTACTTTATTCCTTCTTTCCCTTGCTCTGCGTCCAACTCCCTATCAGACTCCCTGCCACACAAGGCACAAACCTGCTATCTGCAGAACAGTGAAGTGTCTATTCATGTTCAGCCTTCTTTGAGCAGGACTTGTTTGTTTTTCCAAAAGAAGAAAATGTAGAACCATAGGAAGGCCTTAGAAAGGTCCTGCCCCGGCTGCTGAGAACAGAGAAGGGTCCACCCAGATGCCCAAACGCTTGTACCCCTCTCTGGGGTCTTTGAGACCAGGGTAGAGTTGGCTTCTTGGGCAAACTTGCATTTCTGTTTCCTGATGCTACTACACCATGAGCAGTGTAGACCTGTTCTAGTCCCACAACCCCTTTTACTTCAAATGTCTCTAACCACAGTTGTGCTGTTGAAGCACAGGTTTGGCTGTACAAGAAATTCTCTAATGCATGGAAACATTAACATGCCAAGTAGGCTCCGGAAAACACTAACCACTCTCAGAGCCTCTAATTTAATGTGATAAAATGAAAGATTTCAATTAATTTAGTGCATTTTCTACGCACCAGTTTAACACTTGCAGCATTCAGGAGGCACAAACTGGCATCAGTAACACTATCAGAGTCCAGAATGCATTAGAGAATATTGACACAGAAGTTTGATTCACTTTTGAGCGCAAGACAAAAATACCGTGTTCCACTAAAGGCTGTCTCCCCTTTAAAATCTGCCCAGACTTGGGGTCATCTGCCAACATCCTTAAAGCCATCATTTTCTGTTCTCCTTTAGTATGCAATAGCTGTGTTCAGTTACTCAGCTACATTAGAAAAGGGTCAAAGATGTTCTTGGTGAACTGGTAACAGCCACAGAGATGAACTTTCTGAGCTGCATAACTACCTTTCTGTGCAAAAAGTGAGGTATTGCAGTGATTATTAAATAACTGCTGTTACATTTTTATCAATATCAGAAAAGCCTTTTCTTCCCTAAAAAAGTAAGTATTGTGTAGGAGTTAGGTGAACAATAAGATGTCCTCTGCTGAAGTTACAGTTAAGAATCCTTATTTGCTAGACTTTCAATAATTAAAATTTGCCTAAACAAATTACTCCCTGCTGTCCTAAGTTAATTATGTAAAAAAGATATCATTGTTGGTGACTCTTGTTTTGATGATAATATTGAGTCAGACACCTAAAAGAACAATTAAATTCAATGCTAAACAACTTATTTATGTTTGGCTTACCACTGTTATTAATAAGAACATTATTTTAGTGACTGCCTGCTGAGAGCTCAGCTACTGGATAGCAGTTGTCTTATAATTAATGTTTTCTTCCTACTGGCATGTTCTGCGACTCTCTTCATAGTCTCAGTTTTTCAAAGTACAGTATTTAAGTGCATCAAGAAAGCCACTGTTCAAGAAGAATTTGAGCACGCAAGGAATAAGCATCACAACAGCATTATCTTGCGTTTTTTTAGTAACTATGAGCCCTTCTACAATGCTTTTTTATCACTGGTTTAAGAGTTTAAAAATCAACACTCAAAACATTTACTTGTACTTTAAAGGTAAGGAAACTAAGGCACAAAAAGAAGCAACTTATCTAAAGCCTCCCAGCAAACCAGTGGCAAAATCAGGAGCAGAACTAATTTCTGCATTAATGATTTCAGGTCTGAAAAAACCCGAGAGATGAATAGGAATGGAAGGGAACCTAAATCAGTGGCTCTGCCTTAAAAAACACCCTGTGTCCTCGTAAGCTGTGACTTCTCAAGCAGACTGTGGACTCTGGCAAGGCAATCTGAGGAAAGTTGCACCAATTTTGTAGTATCACTGGTCCTTCACTATACACATCTATATACAGATATACACACGTATTCTGTATACACATCCTGTGTGCACAGAATTACCCTTGTACAAGCTGAAAAATGGCACAAAGCTGCTCCCCACCTACAACCTGTGCAGTAACAAGAGATTCCCATTTTCACTGGTGGTATTGAAGAGCTTGATTTTTATAAAAAGACAGCAAACACAGCAAAAAAAACCCCCCTTATTCTAAGGTACGGAGTAAAATAAGAGTCCTTAGTGTAGGAAATTACATGGGAATTGACACCTGGCATATCAACTGTTTAAAATATGGAGAGACTGTGCGGAAGAACATGCCCAGTCGAGAATTTGTTTATAAGTGTGTGTCAGCTGCATGATGAAACCAAAACCGTCAATGCTTAGTGAGTCAGCATCCAAGCCAGCATCAGGACTGAGAGAGTTCAAAGTGTTTATAGAAAACATCTAGAGTCAAGGGGACGGGAATAAATACACGATGTGTTTAATGTAGCACCTGGGCGCGTGAAGCCACCAGATGAAGCTGTGCTATTTTAGTGCAAACTTTTCTAAAGGCAGAAAAGGCTAGGCCAGGAAAAGTTAAAAAAAAAAAAGCAACAAAAAACCCCAAATCCCATAAAATTAGCCTTCAGCAACTTCCTGCTCAAGAAAAGGGAACAGTACCTTGGATTCACCTGTTCTGTCTCCGGTTCTGAGTGTGTGCTTACGGATGTACTTGCAGTGATTCAAAGAATTGTGTTGCAGATTGGTAGTGTGTATCTTGAAAAAAATTGAAACGTGGGACAAAACTTTCACAAAATCCTCCATTGCTTAAAAATAATTAACGCAGACGTATAACAGTTTTGCCCAAAGGCATACTGCAACTCAGTAGCAGAGCTGGCTGTCAAAGTGAAGAGAGTTGTTTTGGGATTGTTTTAGTGCACTTCTATTACATCCTTCCATTCTGCAGTCCACCTTTTGTTTTTCTCCTTTGAATTTATTTATCCAGGAGAAAACCAAGCTTTTCCTGAAGAACTTTTTATTTTATGTTCCTCTTGAATATACTCAGAGGATTTGGTTCCCAGGAAACCACAGAGCCATAGGTTTGTAAAGGCTATTTCAGCATTTGTTCACTAATGGAGGTCTGCTGCACTAAAGCAACTGGTTGACAAACAGAGGCTCCACTCTTAATACATGTAAATCCAAACAAGTCATAACATTTCTACAAACACGTGAAGGGAAAACACCTAAGTGGAAGACAAGACGTGGTCCTCATTCAACTCCTGCTGAAGGCAGGGGAGCAGCACTGCCTATCACTGTACAGGTACTGAGCCTAGCATAGACCTGCCTTTTTCTAGCTCTGTCTTGGGCAACCCCAAGAGCCCCAGAGGAGGCAAATGGATGATTTTTTTTGGTGGGCAAGAACAAAACAGAAACCACTGACAACAACATCCCATCTTCTGTAACATGCCTGAGGCTCACTGTACAAATAAGCTTTCCGTTTTCATCTTCCCAATGCTATTTTTAGAGCATATTGGCAGTGCCAGATGTCTCTTTCAAAGGCTGGACTCTCCAGAGCTGGAGTTAAGATTTATAACCATGTGCTTGCTGGCCAAAGATGTTGAAGATGACAGGCCTGTGGGAAAGCCCCCCCATTGTTAAGATGACACTGTTCAAAAAGCTGTTTAGAATAGTTACTCACAGCATCTTGAGTATTTCAACGTAACAGCCAAGGATCCTGTCTGCCTGGGCACTCAGCTCAATGCTCATGGTGCTGCAGGTAGGGCTGACCATCAAGCAGTCAATCAGGTTGGGCTCGCTGTCATTGCCAGCGTTGGCTGTCATCTTCTGATTAGCGGTGTTGGTGCGCTCCACTTCCACGTGGATCTCATTTGAAGTGACAACAGGCGGTTTGGTACGGGATTCAGTCATGGTGGCCTCTTGAGAGACCAGGTCAGGACTCGTGTGAAGAAGGCGGAGCGGCAGATTAGGCTTTCGGTCACACTGCTGCTGGCATCCATTCCTGATTTCCTTCAGGCTTGGGGAATTGTCTCGGCTGAATTTTAAGAACAAACAAATAATTTCAGTATACAAACATCGCAGCAGAGCAGGAGAGAGGGTTCAACACTGAGAAGCCAAGATCTTTCGCAATTTCCCACTGCATTTCACCCCAGCCCACTGGATTGCTTTCTTCCATGTAATTGGATTACTGCAATCAATTCAGAACATTAAAAGGCTCCAAGATGACTGTTCGGCAGCCCCTATTCTACAAAGATTCAAGCTTTTCATTACTCTAATTGGCATGCCAGCTTAGTTTAAAGGTGAACTTCCCCAAGTTGTGCAAAGCTGTAACAGAATCCATGCCCAAGTATGTATCTGGCTGCAGTACATGCCCAGACATTTGTCTGCAGCCCTCGCGTCTGGAATTCCTGTTGGACGCTAAGCAGCTCCTGTCCGTGCTCTACCATGAGGAAAGTCAGATAGGCATAAACAAACAGGAAACACAGCAGAGGGGAACCCTCAGTGTCTGCTGGAAACTGGCTCGTGTGTCAAGAGCTGTGGCATCTATTTTGTGGTTAGTCAGGAATCAAATTTTCCACAATAATGGAGACAGCATTGTGAAACCAGCTCATGTTCAGAGCTGTAGATCCATAGGGATTTACACACCACCCCTCCTTCAAGATCTCACCCTTCCCTTTGCTTTAGGTGTAACACACACTTCATGTGCCAGAAAGGGAGCAAAAAAGCCACTGCTCTGGGTAGTGCTTACTTCCCAGAAACTCGTTGAGCACTTTCATCTGCTGCTGGTCTGAAAAAGGATGGTTATGGCTGCAGTCTGCCTTGGAGGAGTATCTCAACAGTGGCCAAGATCAGCAGGTAGCCGGCTGTTGAACCTGCAGTACTTCTGTACTGGGAACTGATGAGCTCCTTGCAGCACCAGCAATGCCTCCACTTTCAAGCATGGGAGCTAAAGATGTGCAGTAACAGATCGCCATGCTCACTGCCCCAAAACATGCCACACTGAGTACAACTGAATGAAGGTTCAGCATCTTTCAGGCTTTCAAGCACAGAGCTTGAAATACAACCATGTATCTCCAAAACCATGCATGTGACTGACCAGAACTCCCACATGTAACACTAGCAATGAGGAGACACGCTCTCACATACCCACACCCGTGCTCACACCGATCTTGTTTACAGATGCCATGCGTTTGGAAGTGAGTAATGTGCAGTCAGCTGGGAATTCATACTGACCTGTTGATAAATTCCTCGTAACACGAATAAATGGCTGCTAAGCAGACAGCTACAAGATTTGGCAGGACCCTGGGATGGGGGCATTGTCCAGTTGGACCATGCATGCTGAAAAACAAACACCAAAGTGACATCATTGTGAAGACTTCTGTGGGTAAAAACAGTCAGACAGAATGGGGTGCCAGAACTGGATGCACTGCCTTGGGGAAACTTCAGAAGGGCCATAGCAGAGAGTAATTTTAACCCTGTAAATCCCTCGTTTATGAAATGTATCTCCACAGTCCCCCCTAAAATTTCACCATGACTGAGCATTATGTGCTCTCAAGTTAATGTGAATCTCTCTGGAGAGGCTCTGAGTCTGAATGCATAAAAAGAATGTCCACACAGCCAAGTCCATGTGCTTCCAGTGTGTAACTAAGCAGAAAACCTCAGCCTTATTTGAGAATTAGTTTTAAAATAAAAAATAAAATAATGAAAAAGATACTTCAGCAACATTGCCCCAAGGACTCGTCTAATTTATTTGCTGTTTGCCGGTACCAAAAAGCACCAGCTACTCGTAACAGCCAGAAAAGAGATGAGTAGGGCTGTGAGAAGTAAAAGAGCTAAGCACATACACAGGACTTGAAATACGACATACATTAAATGTAACTAACCTATGAATAAACTTCTTCACAACCTCCATTCCAGCATTCAGCTCATTCAAAGCCAGAATATACTCCTGAGTAAACAGCCGCAACCGAGGGCACTTCCCGAAATCCTGTCCAAAAAGGATAGAGTCAGTGAAGATGGTGAAACATGACTGCAATGGACGTCAAAACTATGGGTTTTCAAAAGAAATCAACTCAAAACACAACCAAATTCACTCTGCATTATTGTTGTGAGTTAAACCCAGCCGGTAACTCAGAACCCATGACAATTACGCTGACAGCTTCAAGAGCACTGTGTCATTCCATGCTGAAATAGTGTTCTTCCCACTAATAACAGCATGCTTCCCAATCCTCCTCTTTCCCCCATACCCACCTTGAGACAAAACGACATGTTTAGTGGAACAAAGCCCTACCTACACTTATACTTCTTTTGTACACTTCACTTTACACCTTCATTTTGAAATGCATTTTTTGTTGTTTTGCATTTTTTCTTACATAACTCATAACTCCAGATTTCTTTGAAATGCAACTCAAAAGTAATTTTTTACTTCCATTTTTCATATTCTATCTATTCTGGATTTTAAGAAAATGTTTCTGACATGCAACCAGTAAGTGATCAAGTATAACACCAGAGACCAGTTCTTTCTCCAGGGGTTTTGCTCCAGGTCCAAGGTGAGCTGACTCTCTTCCTAATCCTGCAGTCGGAAAGGCACCTGCTATCTGAAATCCCTCATCTCCACACATCACTCGCTATTTTTAGATGTGAAAGGAGTAGAATCTGCTGTCTGGTGAGTGTTCCAGCACATTTCTTCACATTTACACAGGTGTAACCTTATTATACAGGTGTTACTGAACTACAAAGACGTATTTAAAGCAGTGAACAAGGCCCACTGAGGACAAACAAGCCCTCCCAGTCATCCCTCAAGCAGCTGGCTGTGGAAGAAGAGCCATTCTGGAAAAATAAATGGCAGGTCCCCTCCAACCCTAACCATTCTATGATTCTAACTGAAACTTAAAGAAATGCCACAAGTGGTAACAAACTGGAGGTCTGTAAAAGGGAAGATACACTCCCAAAGCACCGAAACCTTGTTAACTTGTTTTGGTTTCAGACATTTCTATAGCACAACCTATATTCACATTTCAAAGGTTTTACAGCTACAGAAAATTATCAAAAATGCGAATATAAGCCTAGATGTGAATACAAGCCTAAACAGAACAATGTCTTCAAGTCTAAGTGTCACTCTTCGCTAGCACTGATAACTTCACCCAGCAAAGGGACTGTGGGTGATTCCAGTGTTGGTATTACAATTAAAATCATCAAACTTCTTACAACTTCTGGTAGTTACAAATACGGCTGGTGCAACGGTGTGAGACCATGTGTGCTTCATATGTATTCGATGCCATTTAATTTCATGAACACTCCTTGCAAGACAGCTTTTGCAGTTGCAATTTGTTTATGAAAGTTCTCAACCCATGCAGGTGTCCTAACTGAAGTTAGGATGAAAGTCCGAGAGATCGTAAAGAGGGTATCACTGCTGATATCTCTAAAATAAAACATCTCTCAAAATAAGCATAATGCCCTGTCACCATACCGGGTACAGAGCAATACACACTATCAATCAATCAATACTGTTTGCTCCCCACAAAAATAAACAATAGTGCTTTTAATTTATTCAAACATCCAAAGGTACTGAGGGGCTGCTGAACACTTCTCAAACAACTCAGCATACAGTCTCCAGTCCTGCACATACCAGGTTCAAAGCAAGTATCAGCAAGACAAAAAGCTATCCTTGTTCTCTTCAGATTTCAAATTGACAGATCAATGAAGCAATCTCTCCCCATTTTATACGTGGGCAACTGTGGAACAAAACTTTTTGTGAGCTTATCAAAGACCCCAGAGCAAATCAGCAGCAATGGTGGGAACAGACAGCTAGGTCTGCTGCTCTAAGTACACTGAATTGCATGGGGCCTCCTAAGGTTATGAAGTTTACTGCCAACAATACTGTCCCCCTAAAGGATAACTTTATTTTCATGCACACACACACACATTCTCTAAAAGGCTATTCAGTACAGAAGTCCCTGAAGAGCAGTAAAGTGCCCAAATCCACTCCAGTTAATATATGACACAGTAAATTCTCTGACTGCACGCTGCAGTACAGACATGTTGATTTTCAATCTGCAAATGTTAAGTACGGTAAATATACCCAATTCTCTGAAGCTGACCAAATACAAGCATTACTATGCATTTACATCTTATTTGAGACCCCTCAAGAGCTCTGGATGCTTTAAAAAAAAAATAAATAAAAATCAGTCTGGAATCCAAAGTAACATTTACAGAATATTTCATTGAGCACTACAGAATACTCAGAAACGTTTACACGTCTGCAGAGTGCAGGCACAGAGCCAGGACTGTGACCTATTTGCCATCTTGGGCTTTCTACCTAGTTGCATAAACGCAAGGAGTTAAATAATAATACTGTTACAGAAGTAAGAAGTATGAACCGTTTTCTACTGGGGTCATACTATACACAGCGGGACAGTAGATGGTCTCTAAAATTACCATCAGTTAGTGAAAAGAAGTTGATTGTGTAGTTACAGAGGTTTAAGATCCATCCTTGAGATCACAGCCAAGTCAATTGCCTTAAATATTTTATTTGCTATTCTTTGCTACAGCATTGTGAAGTGAAATTTCTCTAACTTAAAAGCTATGCCAGGAAACTTATTATGCCACAAAGGATGGAGGGCTGGTGAACACTCAGACCTTCTTAGGAAAGGAATATGGATCATGTAATATCTTCAGAGTTAGGTGGAGAACACAATGCTGGCAGGGCAGTCTCCTGCATTTATTTCAATCACTAGCAAGAAATTGATTGGTGATAAGAAGAGAGAAAGCCTGGGAGAGAGTCATCATAAAACAACAAGTACACGATTCCTGGAATGAGAAGGAAGAACAGCAGAAAAGCAAGAGGAAATTCAGGAAACCAAGGTAAGAACTCACGGGACATGAGTCTAAAGGAAAATGTAAATCCACAGAGCTGGGAGTGTCTTAAAGAAAAAATGTTGAGGGCCTCAGGTCAAAATCAACGAAGTCTCTATTCTGGTTTGGTTATTTAATGGATTTTAAACCATTGTAACTACAAGGATGCCACGTGGGGAGTAAATAAGGAGCAAAGAGCCAGGTGGGAGAGGGCTGGAGCTGCATATACTGGCAGTGCTGCCAAAAGAAACATTCCTCAAATCATGGCTTTGCTTAGATGCTTTTGAAAGTCCCACTGATTGCTTATTCGTTCTGCATTTATAAAGCAACACATGGTTGCATGCAGCATTCACACTTTGAGGGGTTAGATTTTGATATCACAGTACTTTGTTCATTACAGGTAATACAACTGCTAATTACAAAAGGTATCACAGTAAACTTCTCCAAACTGGCCAAGTTCCTGTAACACGTGCACTCACCATGTTGTGTTTGAGAATCCTCTGTACCACTGGTGTGAACACTTCAATCACAACCATGGACCGCGGGCGCTCCCGGCAGTGCTGTAATGAGCAACAAGTCATCTTGTGAGCTGCAGAAATCATGAAAAGGGATCTCCTTTTCACACCCCATGCATGGATTACCCCAAGATTAACAAAATCCAAGGGCTAAATTAATCTTTCCTGGGATTAGGGTACTTGTAATGCTGCCCCTTCCTATATATTTGCTGGCATCTGATGGAAGATTACCGTGGGAGCTCATGAACTGCATGAGTCCCTTTTCCCTGCTGCTCATTCTCCACAAAACTCACTGGAATGTAGTATTTCTGGGACTTTTACCCCTTTTAAAACTTGCGAGCAGTTTCAAAAGTAAACGGGTTGGGGAGAAAAAGATATGTAGACACAGGCAGAGTAATGGCACAGACCTCCCTTCCTTGGAGGATCCAGGCTAAAAACCTGTGGTGGATCTTGGAGGGTACCAACAAGCCAGTCCCCCATCACAGGCTAAAATATACAATCATCATGTATCAATCAGAATAATTTAGGTTGGGATGGACCTTTTGAGGTCATCTGGTCCAACTCCCTGCTCAAGGCAAGGGATTGCCTTGAGTCTGAGGCTAGATAGGACCCTAAGACTGGCTTATAAAAATGCAACAGTCAGAGTCGTTTCTGAAACTTGACTTAGATTCTGTAGGAAGAAGTTGCTGATTAGTAACTCTGGATGGGAATTATAAATAGCATCCAGAATGTACCCAGTCATCAGTAAGCAAATTTAAGCTGACACACTAACAGGCCTAGAAGAAAAGTAGTATTTTGAAATCCAGAAGCTCTGCAATCCAAAGTATTCAGAAGTTTATGGAAACGTTGCAAAATACAACACGAGCATGGATTTACCAGAAAAAGAGGATGGGTCCGTATGGTTTTCCCACTGCCATTAACCAATGACATAATATCAATAGGGCTGAGTTATGCATCACGTTACCAACTCATCTGAACACAGTGACTCCAATGATTTTTGCATTAGCTAAACAGAACATGCAGTAGGACATCTCTGGTACCCAGACTGAGGTGTGGGAGTCTGAAGATTTTAACTCTCACAGAGTACCATAACTATGCAGTCTGATGTATGAAGAGTATGGCTCTACTTATCATAATGGTGCTGTTAAATATTTGGTTGTTGACCAAAAACTGGAATCAATTTGGGCATGAGGTAAGGCACTGTAGAAAAAAAACAACCACCCCCTCAAAGAACTATACTCATAGACAACTACGAGATTTCAGAAAGCAGAGCTGTTCTGATACCTTGCAGAAGAATTCACAGAGGTCAGGAGGAGGATGGTTGTTTTCCAGCAAAGGTGCAATTGCCTTTAGAAAGAAAGACAGAAACAGAGAAAACAATTTAATTAGAGAATTGCAACTGGAGTTAGCATTTTGCAGGGAAATATTTTTCTTGGGGGGAAAAGCTCACTGTTTAAAAGGAAGGACAAAAGTCAATTGAGAAATTAGAGATGGGCTGTGGGTTTGTTTTACATGCGTGTTATTTTACATGTAATCTCAAGCACACCTTTGCTATGCATCCTCTGTAGAATTTTGCCTTTAAGTGTCTCAGTGCAAATATATAACACACCACAAAAGGAGCACAATTTTTATAATGGTTTAAATGAAAACAGGAGCAGGCCAATTGCTTCAGGATGTAATACAGCAAGGATGAATCAGGCTCCCTGTTTCAGTTACAACATGTCCCCAAAACAATAAACACCACTCCCCCCATCCTTACATCCGTTATGAAAGAGTTCCAAGCTCTTTTTGTGAGAAGTAAGTCACTACAAGTACCATAGCACTGTTCTTACCTTTGTGGACCCTATTCATCAAAATAAAGCATGTAACTTTGTGCAAGTTGAGATTAACCATTCCTTTTCTGTTGCTACGCAAACCAATGTGCTTATGCTCGGTAAATACATTACAGGTCATACCTGCCACTGAGGGTGTAATGAACTTATGTTGTTGTTACTTCCTCGGTAAATTAGAAAATGGCACTAGAATAATGTATTCTCTCTATGTGATAGTGCCTTCGGGCTCTTCCAGTCTTGAGCTAAAGGGATTCCCAGTACCCATTTAAAAATAAGACTCTAAACACAGCAGCTAGGACATTTTGTATTAAGCAAGTGAACACCAGATATTTTATCTGGATGGCATCTGGAGTTTTACTAAGGCAGCCTGCTTTGGTTTTTTGCTCTCCCTCTTGTTTCCTTAAGGATTTCAGCCCCAGAAACTCTGCTTACAATAACCATGTTTCACAATCGCCACACTTTCACAAATAGGTCAAGATTAATGTGAAACCCAAGCACATCTGCAAAGATCTGTTTTGGTTACACACAACATTTGTAAAGTTTCTGTTCATTATCATGTGCCATCCTTCTGCAACTGTTCACTCTTCCTCTGATGGCGGTCAAGCAACAGTGGACTGATGGAGATTGCAACACTATTCAATGAGACTAGAATTTCCTTGCTCCCCATCCAACGCCACCTGAGCTAAAGATCTCCCTTTGATTCATCTTCTGGAGTGTTTGCTATAGGACCTGCCAAACCACAGGAGGCAAGTGCTGCAAAACCACCCAAGTGTTTACACCAGTCTGGTATCTGTCAGAGGATCACTGGATCAGGGATGCAGCTGGCTGGTTGTCAGCCTAAGGAAATGAGCTTTATTGTTTCAGCCCAGTTCTTTCTGAATGTAGGGAATAACCACAACAGACAGTCAAGTGGGTCATGACTCTTGCCTGTAAGGTCAGTGTGGAATAGTGACAGCATGAATGCACACTGTATTTTCTTACGTGTGCTCCAGGTAAAAGCAGAAACTTGCTGTCTCACATTGCCCAGTTATGGCACCACGTGCTTCCCCTTCCTCACCAGGAAGGCATCAGTTGTAATATTGATCTGTTCCAGCACCATCTAGAGAAGGAAATCTGGTTCCATCTGCACAGCAAATCTCTGTATACTTTCAAGACGCTACATAAACACATAGTATTAGCAATACTTCTTAAGAATAGCACAGATTAGCTGTGTAACAGCAGTGAGCTCTGAATGCCCAGAAACTGCCATGTCCTTAATGGTTCAGACACAACCTATAGATGGGTAGGACTTGAAGCCATCACCCAGAACTGATGAATAACGTAGGCAGAAAGGACCTTCGGAGGCCACCTGGTCCAACCTCCCTGCTCACAACAGGGCCACTTTGCATCTTTCACTAAAAGTCCTCCTTCCAAAAGAACCAGTTGTAACTGGGGCCTGAATTTCTTTTGGCACCAAAGTAAAATGAAAGCTGCAGCAGATCCTGAAGAAAAGTAAACGCCACTTCAGAAACTTATCTCAGTGGTTGATTCTGGCTGAAACTGTACCTTAAGCAGCACTCACACCTACTGCAGCTACGTGCCACCCTTGTCATTCTGCAGAAAGAGTCATGGGGATGTGATAAGATCAGGTGCTGGTGAGGTTTTAGATTAGATTACCATGAAAATCTCCTGGAAATTGCCAGTGACTGAAATTAAACTACAGTGATGGGGAACCAAGTTCCACCTTCCTGATAAGTTGTTGAGATTTTGTATTCTGATGCACAAAAAGATGCCATTCGATTCACTTATTTCTATGTCTAAACAAATGCAAACTACAGAAAAGAAAAAAGTTGAGGAAGATATTTTTATAAATCAAGTAAGCAGGGGGTTAAACTGCAGTGACACACACACATATCCACACTACAAAAACAATCACTTGCTCGCATACCATCAGCAATGGAGACATTCTGTATATGGTAGCATTAACCCCTCAGGAAACTCCTAAGCCTGAAGGTTTTATAGGGCACATCTGGAAATGATGTTTTTTGACTATTTCAAGTACATATATAGAAGTGAATCATGTAGCCTAGTAAGGACATCATTTTGGGAGATAATTAACTCTCAACGTGCTGTGCTTGAAAGGAAACATTGTTGTTAGTCATCTATGAAACAAGAGAAATGACAAAACCACACAAATCCCAGTAGAACAGATGGATTTGATCCTGCCTCAGTTTACCCGCACTGGTGGAAATGCTTTCATGTTTGCTTGCTTCACTGGCGCAGAGGCAAGCATTACCAGAAGTGTTAACAAACAACACAGATTTGTCCTTGGATTTTGTCAGAAAGATACTCACCACAATAATGCTCTCATGGTCTTGGGTGGTTAAGTTGTTGTTCTGAAAGAGTTGAATGGAAGAAACAAGTGAGCAAAAAGTACTCTCAGTTGGTATATCCGCGTACACAATCTTCTTAACTACCACCAGCTAAAAGCAAAAAGGCTAAAGACGTAAATTGCTTATTTTCAGAACAAAAAATCATCACCTTGAAATAATTCTCTTCAAGAAGGTGGTATATTATCTACTACGAAGGCTTGTGAAAGCTTCCATTTTTCCCTCAGCACATTAAGATTCCAGTCACCACAGCCATGAAAGCTGCGCACAAACACCAGGATGCCAGAGGAGGTCTTAATCAGTTGGAAAACTGAAGCTAGAATACATTTCTCAGAAATGTTTTCTTAAGACAGGCTGTATGTTTCTAAGAAAAATAATAGAAGGATTGTTGTGGTGCTGCACACCATTATGTTCGTGGCAGACTAACTGCCGCAGTTTTTCTGAAATTCCTGGTATATACCTTATTGCTACAAGAATTACCACCTGTGGAAACAAAGACAATGGAAATCCAAGGGAGATTTGTCACTCACTTAAGAAATGAATCAGACCTGTGATAAATTTATCATAAATAATCAACAAAGAAACCCAACCGAACAAAAAGCCTCAAGAGAAAAGTGTTTTGTTTTGTTTCTAGAAATCCACCTAACATAGGTCAAAATCTCCTCCTTCTCAGCAAGCATAATTTCCATCCAAATCAGTAGAAGTCAGAAGTCGACTCAAAGGTAGAATTTGGACAGCCCACGTCAAAAAAAAACTCACCACAAACTTCTAACTTTTTGTCTACGATCTACATCAGTGACTGTAGTGATAGGACGAGGGATTACAGGTTCAAACTTACACAGGGGAAGTTCAGGTTGGATATAAGGAAGAAGTTCTCTACTGTGAGGGTGATGAGGCACTGGAATAGGTTGCCCAAGGAAGTTGTGAATGCTTCATCCCTGGTGGTGTTCAAGGCCAGGTTGGACAGAGCCTTGGGTGACATGATCTAGTGTGAGGTGTCCCTGCCCATGGCAGGGGGTTGGAATTAGGTGATCTTAAGGTCCTTTCCAACCCAAACCATTCTATGATTCTATGACTCTGAATGCAACAGTGTCTTGTGGGAGCACTACTGAGGTTCATACCTCTGAGAGCAGCTTTGAGACAATCTCCAGTGGTGCCTGGTGAATGGACTCATCCTGAAGGGGAGACGTCAGCGCCATGTCCACCAGTGTCCTGATCTCCTTCAACACCACCTCCCAGCGGCCTGGGTTATCAAGCACTTTCTTGTACTTGTAAATCTTTTTCTGCAAGAGAAAATGAAAGGGTCCCACTGACACCACCATCAACTTCTTGAAACAACTGACTGGGTATGTGCTTCCTACATGCAGCTGTCAAGTGGGCTGCTTTGTATTTTGAGTTTTGCCTCTTCTGATTGCTGAAAAGCTGTACTTTAAACATCATATGCTTCAAGTCAGTATGTCAATACCAACTTGTTCTGTGGAAGCAGAGAAAAAACTGTGATTCCTTTTTTTTACTTTAATGTAAATTTATAAACTCCAAATCATCTTTCTCTCCACCATCTCCTTTTGCAAACACCTTATTCCTCAGGCTTATAACAGACATCTGCTAGCGCACTGTTTCCAAAGCTGTAGGTCCTTTTAAAGGTAGTTAGTCATAAAGAAAGTGAGAGATAGAGAGGCTACCAAAGCACCATTCTATAGACACTCTATTCTACACTGTTAATTGGTGAATTCACATTCCGAATGAATTAAAATCAACGTTATCAAAGTGTTATCAAAGTTATCAGTGTTATCAAAATCCCACAGGCTTTCTTTTCTGTCTTGATCCTGAAAAGTCATGCTGTCATCCTCCAGTCGTAAAAAACTTGTCAAGTCTCCAAGTTTTCCGTGCAACAGCACTTCTACTCTCAAGCATTCCCAGCTGCCTAATCCCATCTGCCCCAGTTCTCTGCATGCCCCTGCTTTACATCTGGGCATGCCCAAGCTATTTCACCGACTGCCCTGTTCACCGACAGCAGAAAACAGTTCTTACCTCCTCATCAGCCATGTTGCCACAAATGACTGGAGCAGAGGCTGCTGTGTATTATAAATAGTGTTCTTTAGCGAAAACCCACCCTCCCAAATCCCCAGAGGGGGCTTGATGCAACTCTATAAGTTCAAGGAAACGATGACGAGCGTTACAAAGCCACTCCCAAAAACAGCCCGAAGGGTACATTGGAACCAGGAAAGGTTGCCAAAGCAGGCAGTGGCCCCAGAGCTGGCCGGGAAAGAGCTCTGCTGTCCGAGGACAGCAACAGCCAGGACCACAGCACTTGGTTCAGTTCACATACCCTTCCACTCATTGCTATGTGTGAATCTGGCTCTCTGGCCAAAGCGAAGTCAATAAGTCTGCACAGATCTGGTTTATGAAACAACAAAGTCTGGGCACTTCTATATGACATGAAAATATTAGTGTTTTGCACTAAAATTGGACCTTAAATTCCTAGGCGGTACTTCCACGAAAATCACAAAAACTGCCCATGTGGTGCAGATTGAAGCTTGCAGACATAGCTGCGCATTTTGGGCTTTCAATTGCCAGTGTAATAAAGGCTTTGCAAAGGGTCAGCCTGCTCTGTCTTGTTTTGGCGCTTTGTTGCTTCTTGTCATTTCCCCCTCTGCTCACAGAGGGCAGCCCCTGCAGGAACCATATGAACAGACGGGCTGTTTATCAGCTACTTCCTTCCCACCATGGCAGCAGATTTAATGCTCAATACAAAACACAGCCACCTCTGTACCCTACCCGAAACACGAGAGAACAATACAGAAAAATAAAGATTTCAGATGCCTTGGGTTTGCCAATGTTGCTAGAGGGGAGAGAAGAGGGTGGCACTCGGCTGACATGTAAAGGCTGATAAAGCAATCCAATTATCTTTTTAATTAAATTCATGCAAGTACAAAAGCACGCTGGCAGAAGTTCACACTTTCAGTGCATTTTAAGCTACTGAAAAGCTAGAGGAACATAAAAACACATGCTGCAGACACTATCAAATGTGTTTGGGATTTCAGATATTGAGCAAAAATCTTTGTACTTCTGAGCTCCTTGGGGCAGTGATGGCCCATTAGCGTTTTGAAGCCACCAGCGTTACTTCTACCATAATCACAGATTTCTTAGAAACTTGAATCAGAGTTGAATTTCTATTATTCATACAGTGCCTTTTTTTTTTTTTAGGGTCTTTTTGTTAGGCCTTCCTCAGCACTAAGTAAAATCTAAACTTCAAAGCCAACCACCCAAAAGCTTTGTAACTTGAAGCAACTCCTCTCTGACTAATTGAGGACACCAAACAAAGCTAGCCCCTTTTCCATGCTGAAATTCATTCCTTGGTCCTGTACCATGAAGAAATCTAACTCAAAGCAGAATTCAAAGCTGGATGAAATGTGTGGGGCTTTGGGGGAGAGGCACGAAAGCTGGAGAACTGGCCTACTGCATCCCTGCCTGCTCTGGGCTGCCCCTTACTGCTGAAGGAAACCCTCTTGCCCAACAGGACGCTGCTCAGACAAACCTACCACAAATATCTTTCTTCCGCTGTCAAATCCACTCTTGCCTGGGGGGAGGGAGCAGTAGGGGAGGTTTCCTTTCCCTTTTAGACATGTCCATTAACAATTAAAGTTATGATGATGATGACGTACATAAAAGCCAAGACAACAGGAGCTGTACTCCCTGCTACACATGAGAGACCTAAACAAGCTGCTGCTCAGACGGGGTAGACACTGGCTCCAAGGAAGCATCAGGGGACAGCTACCTTTGCAGAACACTGCGAGCAGAAAATCCATACTTATCAGCCTCTGCTTCATGCTTTCAGCACAAGGGGCTGTGCCGCACCGATGTACTGAGCTGTGATCTGCGAACAGCATTACAGGAGTCTGGAATGATGGTGGGAAAGCAGCGGAAAAGAAATAAATAAATAGAGCAGCCATCCCCAAGAGGGTTGAACTCTGCTGTCCTGAACCTTTGCCCATGGTTACGCTGCTGTTTTTCTCAGCAGAATGGTTTTCACTGTTGAGCGCCTTGCTGAAAGCCTCAATTAAAGCTTGAAACCTATCAGTCGGCTACAGAAGCGATTTGCTGTGTATCAGCAAGCACTTAGCCAGCACCAAGCCATCTGCTCTATTCTACCTGTGCTGACTCCAGAGCGAGGAGAAACAACAACCACTCACAGGCTTAAAAGCAAAGCTGCCTGGTAAAGACCCGTATCTGAGAACAGGCATGTCAACACGTGTGAGGAGTTCGTTCCCCCTGGATGTAGGTCTAAAACATGCCTTCAGTTGCTGAAAATATTCACACAATATGCGCCATTAATAGCAAATACAAGAAAAATACTGGGGTGGGAATGCAGTTTCTCTGGGATTTCACTAAAAGCAGCAGCTCCTGCAACAATTTATGTGAGTGAAAATAACACATGCCAACTTGGAATTTGACCCTCCTAGTTACTGACCAGCCAGAACCACACAGCTAGTGTCATTCCAAAATCTTGCTAGGCTGACTTTAAAAGCAAAACCACTGAATTTATTAAGTAGCCAGAAGCAGCAGTATGGGGAACTAATTGACACTGACAGGGCATCCTTCATTGTCAAATCACTCTAATTAATTAAAGTCTTAGAGAAACCCAAAGACTGAAGTGCCAATCCTCTTTTAGAGGAGGAGTCCACACGTAAAGTGTTATTCCAGTGTTATTAAGCAAGCAAATGTGACAAAAATATGTAAGTAGTGGTTTTGCCGTTAAGTGTTCAAAAGCTCCTGAACACCGTGAACAGAAAGTTCAGGTGAGCCTAAGAAACTTTTAGCTTTTTTAACTAACATCTTTATATGTTTTTCCGTTCCATAATAGCCTCATTCTGCAGCTCTTGCTCAAACACCGCTTCCACAGACAAGATGATAACACTGATGTAGTTGACATCTAGGAAAAAATGGACTCTAATGTACGAAATTGCATGACATGGAACAACTGCCTTTTTCAGCCCTGGCAAGACCTTTTATGTTAGGAACATCTCCAAGCACCTGATCCAAAACGGGAGAGAAATTTAGCCCTCTTTACGACCAAATTTCATCTCTGCTTTGTTACTGGTGGTCAGGAAATGTTCTGTGCTCTCGGGAACCTATTTGCCCGTCAGCAAATAATATCTTCATTACATTAAAAGAAGAATTAATCGCCAACCCTAGTCCAGAGCAGGGTGTTTAACTCCAGCTCGCTGCTCTTCAGCCCTTTACCACACAGCAGCACGCAACTCATCGCTTCTTCACTGGAGAAGCTGGAGCTACTGCAGGAGCATACACTGACTCGGAGGGCTGTGTGTGCCAGCAATTGTTTATTTCTTGCTGAGCAACGAGGGCAGTTCCAGCAAAGGGAAAAGGTCAGCCTCCCGTACAGAGGTCCTCCCCAGCTCATTGCGGCGATGACTGAGCCGAGCTAGTGTTGTAGTTCATGTTGACGGAGCTTGTGTTAAATGGAAGTGCCTCTTGAGAGATGTTAATGTACGGAGGGGAAAAAGGCCACAAAGAGCAACACCAGAAGGGTCTTCTCCACTGTAGCAGCACATGTTGTTATAATGCTGCGCCATTGCTTGTGATGTTCGACACACATGCTTGGCTCGTCCTACAAAGCCCAGGAGCTGCACCATGTATTCTTGAGCACCACCTGCTGGTATTCTGTCTATGAACTCATTACCTTCATGGAAACACAGATGGCATGGCATCCCCATGCCGTGCTAGCTCCATATTCTGCTTTTAACACTACCATGCATCACTTACTTCCCAATATTGTGAGAAATATGTAAGAATAACTTGTTGCTAAGAGATGTTTCCCTGATAGCCAGAGACCGGCTTAAATCACTAGCTGGGTACGCTGAAAGCCTTCTAAACTAAGCTCCTACCTACAGTGCTTACAATATGAAACAAAAAAAAGCATCTCACCTGAAAAGACTAAGCCTATAAAAAGTCCCATTCCATGCACAGGCCTGGGGCCAGGATGAGATTATAGAAACTTTTCCAAATCAGGGAATCCAGACTGCTCATGCTGCAGTATTCATACTCTTCATGACCTTCTGAAGGTTTAGCACAGAAAGACTGATGTGCTGCTCTCTAAAATAGTTTCAGAACAGCAGCAGCAAACTTTTGCACTGTACCATGTTTTCAAGCCAAGGCATTTTCTGTATTTGTCATTTTAGCCAGTGCTAAATGCTGAAGTGCATCAGCTCCTCTGCTTTGGCTGCTTCTCTGAATGCAATTGGTTTGGTCAAAGCTCACTTTCCTGCAAACTCCTTGCCACAGGCCAGAGAATTGGAGGGAAATGTTATAAGCTAGACACGTCCTGATTCTCACTCAGTTAAGGTCTAAATAACACTTCATTTTTTGCCAATTCATGTAAATAAACATCCAGACGAAATCACTATTATTTATTGCACTGAGATTGGCACCCATGAATCTATTCCCTGAATAAAGACACCAAATAACAGTCCGTGCCCCGAACAGCTCACGGTCTTGATGATTTAAAGCAAGAAGGAGAGACAGAGGAAGAAAACCAGGCTGTTTTCCTTGAGGTTGTATGGGAACTCAGGACCAGAGCAGACCTGAGATCTTCTGATTCTCAGGTCTCCATATTAATTGCTACCTCCTAAGGAAAAGCACCACCAACATGCACTGGGGCCTTAGCAAGCAAGCTGAATGTTGATACCCCGTTGCTGTGCTTCCCCATCCTCCCTGACCCCCTTTTCCAGCCTACAATCATACCCCTCTATTTTCCCCACCAGTCTCTACCACCCTGCTCCAGATCTCACTAATATCCAGGCAAGAACCCCAAACACTCAGATCACGCTGTCTCAAAGCCAACAGAGTTCAATGGGTTCAGTGAGCGGTGATGTGGGTTCAGCTGTTACTAGCGCACAACTGGAACAACCGCACAGATACTTCCTACAGGCAGAGTTTGTCCTTTGCTCGGATGCCACTTGGACAGTACCACTGCAAGGTAAAGGAATGCTGAAACAAACAGAAATGTAAAAGGATGGCACACGGAC